CACTACCCAATAGGTTAATGGATGTAATTGCTTAAACTGATTGATTAAGTTTGTAAATATATTGCTGTGTTTTTTTTTCTTGTGAGAATTTACTGGCACATACTATGAAACTAAATCGACACTAACGATACTTCTCCGGAACATCTATAAAGTCTCCTCTCTTCATAGCGAAGTCCTCTCTTGTTTGTTATATGTTGTGTAAATCAGGTTTGATTTGATGCTTATGTTTTTCTGTATTAAAGATTTTCTAGTTTGGAATTATGTTATTAGATGTATTGTCCATGCTTTATCTTCAAGTTACAGTAATTTTATTTCACCAAACCAAAAAAGAAAGTTCCAGTAATTTGATTCACATAATAACCGATGTTTGGATTTTCAAGTCTCAACCCCCTATCGACTAATCCTGTCCTATTAACTACTCTAGTTTGAATTTCAGGTCAAATTTAACAAGTTATTTTAATTTGTAGCCTTTCGTAACTAAAACTCTGAATATGGTAATCTTCACTCTAGTGTTTGGTAATTTGGATCATCAAGTGAAAGTAGGACACATTAATTGGGATAGATGGGGTGCTAAACTGCTTAGTGTAGTGAAATTAGGACAGCTTAGTTGGGTTGGACGGAGTGCTTATTTTCGTGAAGTTGATAATCTCTTAATGGGAAAAATTTTGATGCTGCACAAGACCATTTTACTAAATTTCTCTCGTATTTATTTTGGGTTGATACATACAAATTTCTCAAAATTCTAACTCTCCTATTGGGAACTAGGAAAAAGATCCTAGGGAAATGAATAAGCATGAGAGAATCCAAATGGCCCAGAGGAAGAAAGAAGAAGGCAACTTGCTCTTCAAAAACGGAAAGTATCAAAGAGCAATGAAGAAATATGAGAAGGTATCTCAGTGAATTGGTCATCAATGTTAAGAATGTGCAACTTTTGTTAGATACTCCATAATTTTTATGCTTTTTCTTGTTTGGATTTTTTTTTCCGTTCAGGCTACTGATTGTATTAATGAAGATGAACATTTTGAGGATGATGATCAAAAGATAGTTAAATCATTGAGAGTGTCATGCTGGTTGAATGGTGCTGCAGCATGTCTCAAACGGAATTATTTCCAGGAAGCAATCAAGCAATGTTCCAAGGTATAGTACATACATAACAAGATAATCAATTGAACAATACTATTTTCATGTAATTTGGATGGATAGGCATGCTTTATTGTGACAAAAACAGAGTCATATCAGTGCATACTGTATCAGCTGATTAAAGGCATTCTTCCTTTTCTTGTGAATGAATTGACAATCTGTCTTTTCAAAACCAAGCACGGCCTGATTTCATCCTTATCCTTTCCCATCGGTCATAGGTCTTAGAAGTTGAGTCCTGCAATGTGAAAGCATTATATAGGAGAGCACAAGCATTTATGGAAACAGCTGATCTGCACTTGGCGGAACTGGATATCAAGAAGGCACTAGAAATAGATCCACAAAACAGGTAATGCAACTCATGACTTTAATATTGGTGGAGAATTCTTTTGACCGTTATGACTCAAGGAGTTTCTGCGGATCAGGGAGGTGAAACTGATACAGAAGAACCTAAAACAACTCCAAGCAGAGAGCAACAAGAGAGACGCAAAGCTCTATACAACAATGTTTGCACGCTTGTCAAATGAGAACTCTTCGGCAGCAAAGGTTTGTTTCATGATTTCTAACTATTCGTAGTTTGAGAACGAAAAGGTGGGAGAGGAGGATATCTTTTTTAAAGATTTAAGTTATATGCAAGAAACTGAAGAAGTGTAGAAGTTTTAAGAATGCTTAATGATTTGTTCTCTACTCATATGATTTTGTCTCATTTCTTCTCAAATAAAATATCTTAATCCTCTGATCTGGCTTAAGAGAAGTTGTATTACATTGAGGAAATTAGATTCTAGAATCAATCGAGAAAATATACATGGTATTATATCCCAACTTTCTTCCAATTTTGCAGAGATTAAAAGTTGAAGAAACGGAGAACAAGAATGAAGAAAATGTTGGTGAAATCAACATGTGCTGACATTTGATTGGAAGTTGAATCTAGATGAAGAATTGTACTTGTATACATATTTTCTAAAGCTAACAGAGTCTTGAGCCAGGAGTCAATAGGAAACAACCTCTTTACCCCACTTATCCCGCAAAGGTAGGGGTAAGGTCTGCGTACACCCCACTCTTTCTAGACCCCACTTGTTTCGGGAATATATTGGGTATGTTGTTGTTAACACCGAGCATGTATAGACAAGGTAATAGAGAAAGGCATTACATCGCAGAAACCACACTTGTACCTCTGGAAATACGTGGTTTCAGTTCTATTTTAAACGTAAAAAATTGGCACCTTCTGGTTGTATATTTCATTTGGATGTTAGTTTGAACTTTATTTTTCAGTTGTCCCTATCAAATATGAGATATCCCCCTGCATTTCTGCTGGCTTTGCTTATTGTGTTCCATCTACTAATACTGAGATGATTTTAGTTGCAAGAAAAAATATACTAACTCATTGAAATTTGGACAAAATTACACTAAAGTCTCATATCATTATAACTCAAAATCTTACAACACTTTTATTTTACCACGAAGGTTGGTAACAAGCCAAAAACAGTTCTCACTTGAGGCAATGCCAACAAACATAAATTTACAACTCTACAACTGAATAGTAAGTATAGTAAACTCTACTACAGAAGCAGTCACAAGTAAAGTTAGTGAGTCGTGTAATAGGTGATCATGTGGCATTCTGAGAGGCACTTGAGTCAGCCATTGACGCGTCTTTGGCTCCATCCAATTTTTTTGGCTTAAATTTTTCTTTTGTGCTATCAAAAAATGAGATTCTTACACAAAATTTGAATTTGATGCTCACTGCAGAGCATAGATCTTGTTGCATCTTTCATGAATAATATATTCGTGTCTGATATAATTCTCAAAGCTTTTTATTGCCAAAAGGAGTAGGTAGCGGGATAGATTTAAATACCCTGATATTATTTTATTTTCAAATTTTCACCAACCATCTTTGAATGAGACAACATTCTGGTGGACACCATGTGCAGCTATTTTATATCATTCCAGAAATAGCCATCGTTCTGTATTATTTTTTTTTATATCACAACCGAATTTGGTGTAATTGTTAATTTTGTTTTCGAACTACAGATATTTTTAAAGACACTCTTTTACTTAATTAATTGAACTTAAATTCACTCTCGATCTGTCACATAACATAACAAGTGATCTTAAACTCTTGTAATTGCATGAGACTCTATAAAATGCTGAAAGATGTGTTGAAAATACCCTTGAACTTGACGAGAATTTAAGCGTGTATTTCTTACGTTCCCACAAGATGCTTTAGATGGTAGAGGTTCAACCAACAATAGTTGTGTGACCCTCCATTAATTAATTAACATTTGGATAATGGGTCCACTTCTTTGCCTTTTTACCATCTCTCTCTTACTCACCTCTCTCTTTTTTTTCTTTTTTTTTTTACTCCTAATAAATATCTAATTCTCAAAACATAATTAAATAATTAATACATTTGATTAAAAAAATATCGATAAATACACTTTCTGTTAAAATAACTTTAATACTTATAAAATTGTTAACATTAAAAATAAACTTATTTTTAAGTATATTTAATAGAATCAAATTAACTCAAAATACAAACTAATTTACTTTAGCATATAAATTGATTTGATAAGATTTTTTTAATTTTATTTTTTATCTTATTTTGAAATTACACATACTTTTTCTTTCACCATAACCATATTTAAATATAAGAATGACAACGAGACAGAACAAGATAGGGAGTGGCGGACTCATAAACGTTTTTAAAAAATTTATACATGTGATAAATACAAACTAATTTACTTTAGCATATAAATTGATTTGATAAGATTTTTTTAATTTTNNNAAATATATATTATAACTGAATGTACGTAAAGACACGAAAAAATGAATTCTAATAATATTAAGGTTGAATGATATTATTATTATAATAATAATAATAATAATAATAATATAATAATATCATTCAACCTTAATATTATTAGAATTCATTTTTTGTGTCTTTACGTACATTCAGTTATTATATATTTCCAACGTTTTTCTATTAAGTATTTTAAAAAATTATAACTTAAATTAAGAAAATAATGGATACTCTCTGTTAAGAGAATGACTATAAATATATGAACTAAAACAGAATTAAAATAACAATGACTATAAATATATGAACTAAAACAAAATTAAAAAAATATATGGAAAACTAAATTTGAATTAATTTGTTTTTTTAGGTGCTAGTAATTGAGAAAACACTAAATATTTTTGAGTTAATTTGATATTATTAAAAATATTGAATGATATGAGTATTTTAAATACTCAGTCTTAAAAACATTTTTAGTTATTGTGATAAATAAAAATGTTTATTAATTCTTTTATTCAACATATCCACATCTTAAGAAAATGAAGTTAAAGAAATATTTGGTAGGAGTAAGAAAATAAAAAAATGAATGAAAAGAAGGGTAAGTAGGAGAGAGATGATAAAAAGATAAAAAGAAAAAAATAGACACATTATCCGAATGTCAATTAATCAAGGGAAAAAGGGCAAATATACCCCCGAACTTTTAAAAATGGTATGTATATACCCTTCGTTATACTTTGAGACTGTATATACCCTTGCCGTCCAATAATCGGTGCACATTTGCCCCTCCCACTAACGGCACACTCTTTCTGTACACGTGGCGCAATCTTAAGCCATTATCCAGTTGATCAATTTTTTTTAACCCAATTCCTAAGAACCCGCCCATGACCCAATAAGCCCACTCAATTTAAATCTAAAGAAAAGACCCAAAATTAGCACCCCATAGCTGAAATTCGGACATGCCCAAGAGAGAAGATTAGCACGCCGGAATTCGGACATGGGTGTCCTGTCACACTTTTCAGATAAATCCCCACAGCTATCATATTCTGGTGCAACATAACACACAGTTCCTCTCATGCTTGGAGTGCTTCTGATGCCACCACTTTTAGGTGATTTGGTGAATTTGGAGCAATTGAATGTGGCACATTATATGCTTTCTAGAACAATTCCGAAAAGTATTTGTCAGCTTCCTAAGCTTCAGAATTTTATGTATCCTTATAATTTCTTCATTGGTGAATCGCTGGTGTATTTGGGATTGCCGGAGTTTCATGATGAACGAAATTGTTTGCCCAAAATACCGGTGCAACTGTCTCCGGGACAGTATTAGGCGTTTTTGTCTAAAAAAATTCATTGTAGTGCTTTTAGGTGTCATAAATTTGTTCCTGTTTTGCCATCTCCACCACCACTTTCACTGCCGTTGCCTGCCCCTCCTCCGCCTGTTGTAGTGCCTATTTTTCCTCCTCCGCCACCACTTTATACTCTTCCTTCACCTTCACCACCACCACCTCCTCCACCTCCAGTTTATTCACCATCGCCACCACCACCCTCTCCATCACCTCCACCACCAACTCCATCTCCTCCTCCACCGCCACCACCACCACCACCATTTCCACCTCCTCCACCACTTGTTTATTCACCACCACCATCACCTCCACCACATGTTTATTCACCACCATCACCCCCACCATCTCCACCTCCTCCATCACCATTGCCTTATTGTGTACGCTCACCTCCACCTCACTTGCAAGCCTCCTCTTCTCCTCCTTCACATTTTTTCTGTCATCTAATGAAACCCACCAATCTAATAGCTTCCTATGCTTTTCTTTTCTATTTTTCCTGCTGGTCCTGAACTCGACGAAGCCCCAATTCACTTCGTCTTCGGCCTCTCCTTCTTGATCTCACCAATCTAATGGCTTCCTAGGATTTGGGTCTATTCTTTAAATTTTAGAGAGTATATTTTACCCATAAATTTGATGGGTTTATGGGTTATGGGTAGGTTTTAGGATTTGGGTTAAAAGAATTGGTCAATTGGGTAGTGGCTTAAGATTGTGCCACGTGTACGGAAAGAGTGTGCCGTTAGTGGGAGGGGCAAATGTGCACCGATTATTGGACGGCAAGGGTATATACAGTCTCAAAGTATAACGAAGGACATACCATTTTTAAAAGTTCGGGGGTATATTTGTCCTTTTTCCCATTAATCAATGGAGGGTCATATAACTATTGCTCATTATAAAAAATTTCTAAGTAGAGGGATGTTTTTGTCTTTTCAAAAACATTTCATGAAAAATGTGTTTGCTGCCATAACAGTATAAGATGCCCCTCCATTATTTTAAATTCATTCAAAAATGAATGCATCAATGGCGAAATCGAAATATTCCCTAATTAGCTCCAATGCGTTTCTTCATCTTCTTGCTCTACTATTAGTGATACAAATAAGCCTCCTGCAACTGCAAGTACAAGCTGCTGCAACTGTTAAATTTCTTCCTGGATTTGACGGTCCTCTTCCTTTTCATCTCGAAACTGGGTTAGTTTATTTTCTTTCTTTTACTAATTGTATAGCTTAGAGCAAGTTTCATGGTTGGGTCAAATTTGGGCGGATCAAAACTCAATCCAGTTTTAATTTGCTTGTGTCAAAACGGGTAACAACTCTACTATAGAGTGTAGAGATTGAATCCCAACTTTAGCTCTCACATTACCAGCAAAGACGATAGATCTAACAATTTCTTCCACAGTTTACTGATTGCAAAAAAATGGCATCTAGCTCCGCAAATCCAGAGAAACAGTTAATTATGATTCACCACGTGAAGTGTGTGGTCTTTCTGTACAATTAGATATAGATATTTTATGTATATATTTTTTTAAATTAATATAATATTATCAACACTCATCTTATCGATTAGATATAAATATTTTATGTATATATTTTTTAAAATTGATATAATATTATGGACCCTCATCTTATGTAAGGCTAAATAATGCACTTTCACTATTATATTTATTACTCTGGCTATGGTGAATATATTCAATTATAAAAAATATAGGAGTATTAATTTGCAATAATATCTAAAACAGTGCAAGTAATCTAGATTGTCCGTATAAATAATATTTATATCTTTAGGCTATTTTTAGTTGTTGTACTAGCTAGCTACCTGTCGTTTAAGATTTCAAATCTCATAATTGTTAGTATTATTTTTACAAGTTATAAAAATATCAAATATATTTAAAATTACAGATCTTAAAAATCTTCTATTTTCTTAAATTTTGTGCCGAATTAAATTAAAATGTCTTACTAATTAAATTTTTTAAAAATGTTAAAGTTGAAATAATTAGAACTAAATATTTACATGATTCAGGTATGTAGGTGTGGGTAAAGAAGAGAAACATCAGCTATTTTATTATTTTATTAAATCAGAATCAGACCCTGGAAATGATCCTCTTATATTGTGGCTCACTGGAGGACCTGGTTGCTCTTCTTTCAATGGAGTTGTCTATGAAATTGGTAAGTATAGTTCCATCTTCTAAATGTGAATTTAAATTTTACGGGTTTAGGGTGTGTTTGGTATGAAGGAAAATGTTTTTCATGGAAAATGTTTTCCTAGAAAACAAGTTGATTTTTGACTTATTTTCTCATGTTTTGTTGGTGAGTAGAAAATATTTTCTGAAAAAGATTTTTAGTGTTTGATTTATGAATGAAAAAATATTTTTGAGAAATATCTTTTATTTTTACTAGAGTAGAAAATAATTTTTGAAATTGAATTATTTTTTAAAAAACAAACTTAAATTATTTTTGGGGCGTGGGGGGGGGGTGTG